GGGGGGGGGGGGGGGGGGTAGAATATGGTCCCCTCGGTAGAATAGATCAGACCGAAAGGGCCCCCACCCCCCACCTGGCACGGCACAACACAGCACTGATGGGTGTAAAGTACATTTGGTCATTTAACTGCTTGTAAATCCTGGAAAATCCTAATTTAACACGCCATTTATAGACAGGTAGGGTCAGTCTCTGACCTGTGACATCATGAGGGTCTCAGAAGGTCTGGTTTTATCACACTGCTTCTCTTTGTGCCCCCGAAACACTCATGCATTCAGTGGACATCTGGTTTAAACCTACTTATAAATTTCAGTCTTACTAAATCAGAATGGGACTAGTTGTCATATGAGCATTCATGCTCGATAGCAGAAGTATCTGTCTAGAAATATCTAACTTTGAAGATCTGTATTTATTTAAATGTTATGTCCCTCTGTGTGTGTTTGGCTCGCAAAAGTTTTGCTGTTAAGCTATTACATAAATACATATACTGTGGAAGATGCCAATTTTTTATCTTTACAAATATATACTAAGGCTGTCAAATCGATTAATTGCAACCAAAATAAACACACATACATAAATATTTCTTATATACATGTATGCATGTGCATTTAGCTATATATACATATAAATATACACACACATATGCCTCTGTACTGTAGGTAAACGAGGATTCATAGTCATTTATATACAAAAACGTCTCAAAATATGGTCATACTTTTTTGATGGGAGGGGGACTGTAGGCTACCTCAGTACTGATGAAAGGCTAGAAACGCCCCTTGTGACAACTGTGGTGGACTGAAAGGCAGTTAAAGGGATAGTTCATCCAAAAATGAAAATTTGATGTTTATCTGCTTACCATTTTGTTACCATTGCCATGCATTATAAGACTGATAGACTGCAACGGTTGGACTTAAAAATCATCAAATGTGTTCTACTGAAGAAACAAAGTCACCTACATCTTGGATGCCCTGGGGGTATGCAGATAAACGTCACTTTCATTTTTGGGTGAACTATCCCTTTAACATCTGCAGCGCTCCAGTAAGTGGCGCCCTCTTTAGGTCAGTCTGGGAACAACAGCAGTCGAGAGAGGGGGCGGAGGACACAGAGGGACAGAGAAAGAAAGAAAAAGCCTGTGCGTGTTTTCGCAGGCGGAGTTTCGTTCTTGCGCACCGTTGGAATTCACGGTCCCTGTATTTTTTTCCTCGGGATTGCTTGAGGAGACAGAAGGAGCGAGAACGCGCCGTCAGCGAGCAGATGTTATAGCTGGACTATCCCTGTTTCCAGCCTGACAATCGAGCGTATCATCTACTAAAATGTGGCAGCCTGCGTCCGAGCGATTGCAGGTAAGACTGGACGTCTAATTACTGTAAGAAACGCTTTTGTTGTCTGTCGTTCACTTTGGAGACGCGGTGTGTTGCCACAAAAGCTAATCATCCAGCAAACCCCATTCAGCTGCCGTTTATCTGATGAACTGTTACACTGGCGCTGCGCGGCTCTTCAACTTTGTATCGCTGCTCCTGGCTGAAGCTCAGAGCGTCTGGACTGCAGCTGCGAGTCCGCTCGCAAAATAGAGCAGAAGTTTCGCAGTTCTTTCTAAATCATATCATGCCGTTCCAGACTCAAGGCCATTTCACACCATTGGTGTGTCTGCAGTCTGTGAAACGGCTGGAACTTGCTGTGCTCCTGGCCTTGCGTTCACACGGGACGCGTTTGCGCTGTTTGTAAGCACCAGGGAAAGCCCTGGAAATATCAGTGCGTTTTAACACTGGTTTCTAGGCCTAGAAAAGTCATTACAATTACTAATTCACTGCACAACAGCCAAAGTTGGTTTCGACTGGTATAGGCTGGCCTCTAATGTTCTTTCAAACTGAAAAGTGCTTAAAATCTCTGTAAGACCAGCTTTTTTTTTTAGATGGGAAATCCAGTGTAAGCTGCATGCTGTGGTTTGGAACATGGCAGCAGGTTTTTAGCTGGTCCACACTGGTTGTTAACTGGTCATTAGCTGCAACAAACTAGCTACCAGCTGGCCACACCAGGTTAAGATGGTCTTTGAAGCTGGTCAGCCGGCTAATGACCAGCTTGAGCTAGCTAATAACCAGATACCAGTTTAAACTGAATTTTCTTGCAGGGGTTAATCCCCATCCACTAATCACAAATGGAAATTGGTTAAAAAGGTGTGGGAATCCTGAAGTGCGCATGGCATTGATTGTTGCTGCAAATCGTGCCACCACAGTGAGTGTTTTTAAGTCCGAAAGTCAAGTTTAAACATTTCAAGATGCCTGATAATATCTGAACGGCATCTCAAACCAGGTTTACACATACAGCACATCTGTTGACGAGCTGTGCGTCTTGTTTTTGGCATCTGGCATCCAGTTTCTGTGCAGAATATTTAGCCAGATTTCTCCAAGCGTTCGGATTCATCCAGTTATAAACGTCCAGCAGTTACCTGCAAATCTCCTTCAAAATAAAAAAAGAAAAGTTCACGTCAAGTATTTTTATCTCCTGGGGTGCTGGGCTTCACGTCTCCTCTGTTTGTAATATTATCCAGATGTGAAGCGGGACGGGCTTTGCCAGATGTACTTGCACAATCTTTCCTCACAGAGTTTGGTATTGGTGACACTGATTAAATAGCGTAGTAAAGCTGCTTCGACTGATTTGATCACCAAAATGTGCTGCTATGTGTAGCAAAATGCTTGTATCAAACCACTATAAACAATTTAAATCCATGTAAAAACAGCCAGATTGTAGTAATCTATCACAGTTCTGTGCAAACTCTTTCTGAAACCAATCCAGTAGATTAGAAAAACTTTCTGAACCAATCCAGTAGATTAGCCTCTGATCTAGGGCTGGCCGATATGGCCAAAACAATTATCACTATACTTTTTTTTTTTTTTTTTTTTCATATCAGTTGGTATCGATAATTATCACGATAAATTGCAAATCTTTATTTCTTTCAAGTTTAAAGGCAGATTTTGCTCCTAAATGTGAAAATTGTAGAAACCAGATCCTTAATTGTGGTTTTAAAATGCACTTTATGGTCAGAACATGACAAACACTTCACATTTTTGAATTCTTTACACTTTTCCAGTCATGTTTCCTTAACAAAATAAATATAATAGAAAAAATTACTTTTTAGTTTCTGCATGCTCACGTGCATTGTCAGCACAGTTTGCAGTGCTGGCTGCAACAATAATAATTTTTAAAAAAAATTGTCTCTTAGAAATGCACATTTCACAGTAGCTTGAGTTGACAGTAGTAGCAGCTTGAGTTAGGATGCAGATGCAAATTTATGTTCATTATCAAAAACAGTAACATCTGTAAAAAATTGTAACAACCTCATTTTTATGTGGTGAAATGTAATTATTCTGACTGTTTGAGTTTCTTACCATACATTTAGATCATGATAACCACAGTTAAAACCACACATATGGTTACAATGGTAAAAATGTAACTTATATGGTTTGTAGGTATTTGTATGAAAAGCAGTAGTCTAAATAATACATTTATTATAAATGCACAAATGCTATAGCTTAATCACAAAAAGTACTGTAATAAACTGTACTGTTTAGTGCTGTTTCATTACGCTTTTGGCACATAAACATTATATTGAACATTTATCTAACTCTTGTTATCGTTTTATCGAGGAAAATTATATCGTGATATCATTATTGTTTTATTGCCCTGCCCTATTCTGAACCAACCTGTGCCTTAGTAGACCATGATCCATGACCTAAATCCACAGAAGTCCCTGTTTTGAGTTTATCACCGTTAAAAGCTCAAACATAGTACGTATTTCAGGAAAATGCTTACTCCTGTCAGTGGACACCATTTTCATCATTAATAAATCCCAGTGTTGAAGCATATTCCTAATGCTTTCTTACTGTACACATACTATGTACATAAAAGGAAAAGCATTGTACTTGATATGTAAAAAATATCCATAATTTACTCTCTCAAATGTTAATGTGTGAATTCTGTTATAATTGTATTATTTACACTGGTGTTCAAATTAAGAGGCATATTTCCTGTATTAAGTACAATATTATAACTAATTGCAGATGCAATTATGTTACATTAAATCAGTGTAACAGCACTATATTGCTCTTAAAAATAAAGGTTCTTTATTGGCTTTGATGGTTCCATGAAGAACTTAACATTCTTGTGACCTTTACAGTTCTTTATAGTGGAAAAGGGTTCTTTAGATAATTGAAATGTTCTTCACACTAAGAAAAAATGTTTGTTTTTTTTTAATAAATACTGATCACTGAAAGGTTCTTTGGAGAGCCAAAAATGGTTCTTCTATGGCTTTGCTGTGAAAACCTACTTATGAAACCGTTATTATTAAGAGTCTATGTACATAGTAATACATTTTAAGATGAGTACATAAAGACAGCTAATATGCTGTAGGACTGTTTGCATACAGTCCAGTTTTCTGGATCTGGGGTGAACTCTTTATAATCTCATAAAAGACTGGATTTAGTAGGATTCAGTGTTTTCCTTGGGATGTATTAAGAGCATTACATCATGGAGATTTGAATCTGATGCGATTATACCATCAAACACTATACAATCAGATCTCATGTACAGTAACAATAGGATCTTATATATCATAATAAGTATAATCAGCGATATGTTAGCAATAGTCAAAAAATATATTGACATCAAGAGTTTTGTCCTCTCGCAGCGCTCCACCCAGCGTAACACCACTCTTTTGGATCTCAACAAGCCAGAACCAGCCTCAAGATCCATTGGTTTTTGAGTAGACCCTTGTGATTCATTGACTTTGTGCAGACCAGCACGTACTTGTGTTTTCACACTTTGCTAATTTTGAAATAAGACAGCGCAAGTTCTCATTTGGATCTGAGACGGCATGTAGTAATTGTGGTTTAGTTCTCTGATAAATGTGAAACATCTCATGCTTATTAACCTTTTCAGTGGTATGGTCCCACATGTGGGATTGTCATTTATGTGCCCAGGGCTCGCAAAATTTCAAAATCCCTGGTAGCCCTTCGGGCAGGTACTCTTCAGATTTTGGTAGCCCAAAAATTAATTAGGAGATTAAGATAGGAGATTAAATGCCAATCAAAAATAGTTTCTTTAAGCAATATCGTATCGCATATCGAATATCGCATTTTTTAACAAGGTATCGCATATCGCATTTTTTTTTTTCAATATCGCACAGCCCTACTTTTAACCACGAATGCTCATCTTGTGGCTATACTACAACATTTACGGATTGGACCCTTTATTTTCCATTGTAAGTACACTACTGTTATCCAGCCTTTTCCTTTTTTTTTTTTTTTTTTTTTAAAGAAAGGATTATTTGAAATTATCACTCAAGTTGATTCATTTTAACTCGCAATAAATCCAAGATATTCTGGATTGAAAACAAGTTAAGATCAGTTGAGTTGGGGACTTCAGTCAAACTGGAAATTTTCTACAGTCAAACTGGAACTACTGTCGTGTGTGTGTGTGTGTGTGTGTGTGTGTGTGTGTGTGTGTGAGTGTGTGAGTGTGTGAGTGTGTGAGTGAGTGAGTGAGTGAGTGAGTGATATTTTTATGAAGTTTTGAGACAGACATGCTTCACATCACTCCAGCATTGCTATCTAAGATAATACAGAACGTTCTGCCCAGTGTAATCTAGTGTTACACAAACACACATTCTTTGCACCACAGATCACGGCATCGTGAGGGTCTCACTGTGATATGAGCATAGTACTTTCCCAATAGTGATCCCAAAGACCACCCAGGCACAGTTATACTATTGCTAGGGCAGTGGCCTGATGTTGCAATTAACAAAGAGACTTGATTGATTTTCTTACAATGCATTGAAACAAGATCTAATTCTCCAGCCCTCCGCACACAAACACTCGTGTGCACTCATTCTTTCCCAACACACTTTTCTCAGAATGCACTGAAGCACTCTCCGTGTCCGCTGCATGGTAACCATGACTACCAGCAGGCTCTCTTTTTGTGGCGTTTCCATGGCAACGGGCATCGCTGTGTTGATGGCGATGCTCAGTCTCATTCTCTTCTCTCCCGTTCTGTGATCTGGAGCCGTTCTGTATTATGTGTTTTTGTACCGGCTTTACTGATAAGATGTGCATTAAATATCGCATGCGATTTATCGTGCAGCCCTATTCCAAACCCATTTATGCTTTATGTATTTTTTCATTTTATTTATTTATTTTGCAGAACTTAAAAAGAGGACATATAACGGCTGTTTTCCATGCAACGCAAGCTTTCTAGCTTGCATAAGCACCGTAAAAGTGATTGGTTTGACTTGTTGCACCATATTTAATGTTTCCTAAAGTTCTATAATAGCTTTGAATGAGGAATAGAC